AACGGTTAACGATATACATATATGTGATCATAAGTGGGCGGTGCCACGCCCATTTTCCAAAATTTTATCACAAACATATTTCTTGGTTAAGAATTGTTGTAAGCATCAATTTTGAATAAATTAGCTTCGATATTTACTCATTTATCGCAGATTTTGTATTTCTCTAAATTACCGTTATATGGGATGTGGGCGTGGTTATTGTCCGATTTTAAAAATTTTCGGCTATTTGGTATGATGTGCGAAGCCCAACAACTGTGCCAAGTTTGGTAGAATTTAGTAAAGCGGTTACCAAGATATACACATGGCTACGCCCATTTTCCAAAAAATTATAATATTCTTATTTTTCGTCTAAAACTTATTGTAAATATCAGTTTTGAGTGAATAATCTCCAGTAGTTACTAAAATATCGCAGTTTTCGTATTTCTGAAAATTACCGTTATATGGGAAGTGGGCGTGGTCACAGTCCGATTTGGCCCATTTTCAATACCAACCTACCTTGGATTAAGGGAAACCTACATACCAAGTTTCGTTGAGATATCCAATTTTTGCTCGAGTTATCGTGTACACGGACGGACGGACAGACGGACAGACGGACGGACAGACATGACTTAATCGATTTCTCTTTTCATTCTGATCATTTATGTGTACATTTGTCTATGTCTATCTCGATTCGTTTTGGCTGTTACAAACAACCGTTATGTGAACAAAATTAATATACCTTTGTGTACAGGTGCGCTCGGATATAAAAATATTAAGATTTAAGTGAGCTGGGCCGATTTGAAAATACCTTCAAAGTTGGAGTTTTTTATGAATAAAAATAGTTTCTTAAAGATTTTTTTTGAAAAGATCCCCTCTGATGAAAAAACAAATTAGGGATCCCGGGACTGAACCAACGACATGCCGAAAATCCCGGGATTGTAAAAATCGAAAAAATTAACATCCCTAATACACATATATAAATTCAAGGCCATATTTAAGGAACGTCGCCTTTTTTTTATTTGCCCAATGAAAACTCCCATTAATCCAAGTCTGACAATAGATAATTATACATCGTTTTAAAGGCCTATAAATCCTTTCTTCTCAACATGTTCGATCTTTAAAATTGAATGAAAACTAGTCATTCAAAAACTTAAAAATCTACAAAACCGTACTTTCTGACCTAAAATGACAAGTCGCGACCTCTAAGTAACTTTTGAAAATCTATAAAAATAGGCAATAATATTTTTAAGAAAAAGGAAGGAAATTGAGGGGCCCCCTAATATATATACATACTACATATATGGATCAGTGAATTTTTTTTTTTTTATATGGACTGCGTTAAAAATATGTAGTATGTAAATCGCAGAAATAATAAAGGAAGCAAATTCTCAGTTCATCAGCCTACCTAGAAACGAGTGAATACATAATTGTTTCCTTTGCATTTTTCCAATGGTAATGAGTAATTGAGATAAGCGCATATAATGTTTGACCTCAAGTTATCAATTTTGTTAATTGTCATTGAGTACCAGACAAAGAGACGTCGATGCACAGAGCAATAGTTCCGTGAAAGAAAGCGTACAATTCGTATGACGTTAATGAGTTCAGAGAAAGTAAATTTTTGGGGAGTTTGTTGAACCATCTTCCACACTGCGAAAATGCTGATTCATAATTTTAAGTGTAAATAGACAAAAATTTGGCATTTCATATCTGAACGCCAAGAACTGTTCAATCAAATGAATTTTTCCACTGATCGTTATCAACGAATGGTACTCATTTAGGTACAGGTTCTTTTTGTGATAATTTTTGCATATACAGTGACCAGGGCTGCCAACTATCCTTAATTCTGAGGTGCCATATAAGAAGAATAATGACAAAAAAGGTGTTATTCTTTTTAATGGAAAGTTGATTATCTATTTCCCCCCCATTTAGCAATAAAATATATACCAAATTTCCAAAACAAGAGTGCAATGCAAAACACATTGTATTAACTTTAGAGAGACTGCGTTTGAGTTTTTTTTATATAACAAGTGCAATTTACAAAAACTGGCGTTGATTTTTTGAAATTTCGTTGGGAACGGTCTCCAGCATTTTTCATAAGAATTCCATGCTTATATGGAAAAAAGTGAAAAATCCATCACCAAACAAACAAAAAAAGGGGGATTTTTAGCCGTTTGAAATTGCAGTTTATTGCACTACACATCTTTAGCTGTTCTCGATTAGAATTCACTTGACACATAGATATCTTATTTCCCCTCTCTTGCTTCTATTCCACAGTCGAGTGACCAGGTCTGCCAACTTGGCTCAAACCGTGTCTTTTTGGTCCCTATTATACTTCAAATGGACCTGACTCTTCAAACGTTTTTCCACATAGAGTGTATGAACTGAAAAGGACATAGAGAGAGAAGAAAAAAAAAGTAGTAAGTTTGGGCCGCGCTACGGAAGTGAAACTTCTCTTGAATAATTTATTAATCGTTCTTTAATTCTGATAGTTGTATGCTTCGATTTATTAACTTATAAAATAAGATAAGATCACGTAACACTGAGTTGAGTGAATTTATATTGATCAAATCACAAGTCAAGAACTCTATTTTATTTATTATTTGAATTGCTGATCAATACAGAAATAAGATTAATTTTTAATTTGTTTCGTTGAGCTTAGCTGAGTTGAGTTGATGTGAGGTGAGTTAGGGTTTTTCACTGGAGGTACGTTAAGGTGTGTTGGGGAGAGGTGAAGTGAAACGAGGTGAAGTAGACTGAAGTGATGTTAGTTAAAGTTATTTGAGGTGAGGTGAGTTGTAGTGGGAAAAGGTACGTTGGGGTAAGTTAAGTTGAAGTGACGTGAGATGAGGGGAGATGAGTTGAATTTAGTTGAGTTGAAGGGAAGTGAGGTGAGATGAGGTTAGTTCATATGAGTTGAGTTGAGATAAAGTGAGAAACATAACACATCTTAATCTCGAGTCTTATTTTAATCTTTTTTCCTTTATCTCTATCTCTATCTCTAACTCTATCTCTATCTCTATCTCTATCTCTATCTCTATCTTTATCTCTATCTCTATCTCTATCTCTATCTCTATCTCTATCTCTATCT